GGGAGGGGGAGGGCGGCGGCGTCGCGGAGCAGGGGCGAGGCCCCCCGCGCCGTCCGAGGCATCGCGGACCCAACGCCGCCGGCGAGGGCCGTGCCCGGCGGATCTGGGAGGGGAGGGCGAGGAGCAGTGGTGAGTGGGTGGGCGGAGGGATTGGGGATTTTTTTCTCTCTCTTCTTGCTTGTGCCGTCGCGAATGGAAGTCAAGTCTTCTCGGGGGAGCTTATAAATAGTGGCGGAGAGCGGTGTGGATAAGGGGGGGACACGTGTGGTGGCCGGCTTGTCGGCTTCCGCGTGCGCCCCGGGGAATGGATCTGCGGGGATTCGGCCCTGTTGTGGAAGCGAGTTGGGCTCTGTCTGTTTACAGCCCTCCAAGAGCCCGCGGCCCGCCAGGACCCGGTGACCGGCCCTGGGCTCATTATAAGATGTTCTACACCCGGCCAATATGCGACCAATAGTAAGCAGGGGGCTTGGCTATCTGACGCGCGCGCGTTGGAGCGGCCGGTTTCAGACAACGTCAAAACTTTCCTGTTTAAGTAATTGAGGGGAGAAGGTTTGGCGCACCGGCCCTCCACCCGTTGAAATCAGGGGGGAGAAGGTTTGGCGCACCGGCCCTCCACCCGTTGAAATCAGGGGGGCTGAAAAGATTAGGATCGAGCGTTGTAGCGCTCGGGCGCGTAGGAGCACGTCGGGGAGTTGATCTTGCCGGGGGCAGAGCGGGATCGGGACACTAGTGAGGAAGTGTTTCTTCCTACTGATGCTCAAATCATTCTGTCAATTCCTCTATGCACAAGACAAAATAGAGGACTTTCTGGTCGTGGGTGCATGAAAAGAACGGAACCTTCTCAATTCGATCGGCCTACCGAATGCTCCTTGACACAAAGTTGAGACGTGAGGCTTGGCTCGAGGGAAGGTCTGGGTCGTCGGACATAGCAGGCGAACACAAGGCATGGACGAGACTATGGAATATAGATATACCCTCGAAGGTCAAAATCTTTCTATGAAGGCTTGCCTAACAATCCATCCCGACTGTGGACCTTCTTCGTGAGAGAAACATGTCCACAACTACGTGCTGCGGACTCTGCGATGCTGGAAATTCTTGGCAACACTCTCTACTTCATTGCAGTGTCGCGAGATGTGTCTGGGCTCTCCAAGATCATGATCTGGTCGAAGCACTTAACAGTACTGTTGAACCCGACGCAAAAAGGTGGGTGTTTGCACTGCATGACATGCTATCAAGTGAAGAGTTCACCCAGACAGTTGTCACCCTCTGGTCGATCTGGTTTGCAAAGAGACAGGCATTGCATGAGCACATATTCCAGAGTCCCCAAGTGACACATAATTTCATCATGAAATATCTGAGAGAGTTGAAGGATTGCAAACCCAAGACATCTCCTTCACGGACAGGGCCTATGCAGCAGCAGCATCGGCATGAGGCATGGAGCCCACCGCCACCTGGGTGTGTGAAGATAAAAGTGGATGGGGCTGTGGCACGTCAGGTAAACGGAGGCGCTTTCAGTGCAGTTTGCAGGGACTCAACTGGTATGTTTCTGGGCGCTTCAGCTATACGGTGCAGGGGCATATCTGACCCAGCAATTCTTAAGGCTCTGGCATGTCGCGAAGGTCTGGCACTGGCCAATGATCTCGGTGCTACGCACGTGTTAATAGTATCCGACTGCAAGGGGGTTATCCAGGACATCGCGAACAACACTGGAGGAGAGTACGGTTCGGTCGTTAGGGAAATATTGAAGAATCCACGACGTTCCAGCTTTGTACCTTCACTTTTGAAGGAAGAGAGACTAATACGGAGGCACATAGAGCCTCGCTAGGCATGCTTTGGGTCTGGGTCATGGACACCATTTGTGGCTCATAGATCCACCAGACCTCAATTGTATACCTATGAACTTGTTGGCTGAATAATGTAAAGCGTGTTTAGACTTAAAAAAATTTATAAGATGTTCTACAGCAACTTTTCCTGATTCGAATGTATACAGACGTATTTCGTTATGTTTATGTGTATTCGCTCATTTTAGTCTGCACGTAGTTGGAATAATATCTTGTTTTTGTAAACATAGGGAGCACGGGTTTGAGACGATGTGTGGTTTGGGCATTGTTGTTTGCCCGCGCACCCATGCAGGTTCTATAATTTGTGCATCATAGCGAGAGAAGGGAACCTAACTAGTGTCACGCATTTGGGTGCCCCATCATGAATAGATGCATGGGTGGTTTAATTTAGTGGAGAGCGTCAAGAATGTTACTACTCACAGTTTGTAACCCGGTGCTCATGGCTAAGCGCATGAATGTGGATGATCTTTTCATGTCTTTGATGTGCTGAAACTGAACCTACTCACCATCTGTCTATTGGTGGTGGTGTAGCACAACAACTTTGGAGTCTTGTCTCTGATGCTTTCAGTTTAGACTGGTTGTGATTTTGAATCGATTGGTCTGCGGTGAACTGGCTCACATAAACATTCGATGCATAATATGGGTACGAGTGCAATGACCTGGTTTTTGTGGATTTTTCAAATTGGTATGTGCTTTTAGGGCATAAAGTGGCGAAGCTCTCAGAAAATCTAGGAGGAGGTGATTGCATGGTTCGTGGCCGGAATTGCATCATGGCACTACAGCGGTGTGGTTCAATGCACTTTTATAGGAGGACTTAACACATATGGGTACCCTCTATATGTGTCGCTCCGTGATGGGTTTTGTCTTTCTATTTTCCTGTTTCTTCCTTTTCTCTTTGGTGTCTTTTTTTAACACTTGCTTTCTCGTCTTCTTTAACCTTATATTTAGATTTTGTGTGTATTGTCCACTTCATGTACGTGTACTAGTACTTAGTGCATACTCACTACCAGGGAGGAGGTACATGTATGCTAAAGGGGATTACATATACAATACGCGCAAGAGTACATTTGGCCACAATTAGTACATTGCACTGGGAGTACACATGTGCGCTATGCAAGAAGTGCAATTTCGTGATGTGTGGGAGCACAGGTAACCGCGGGGATTATAAGCAGGGGTGGAGACAGGACCCAGGCCCCGGGGCCTGGGCCCGGGGCATGAGGCCCAACTCCTTCAGTGACTGTAGTGATTACCTGAGACGTGAGGCCCAAATCCAGAGCAGTGCTTGAAGGTGGCATGGGGCCTGTTGTCGGCCTGGCTTCGCCCCTGATTATAAGTACGCTACATAGGGAGTATAGGTGCACTACACATGGGTGGGTACAAATGCACTATCAAGAGGAGTACTAGTACACTACGTGAGAAGTATAAGTACATTACCATGGGGAGTCGAAGCTGCATCAAAAAATAGTTCATCGAAACCTATCAACTTGGATCTAGTTTCAATGATACTAATATGGTGGATGCAGCAATGAAAAAAAATCATAAATTTTGGATGCTTGGATCGAAAGATATTTCAGATTGAAATTTGAATATAAAAAATATGTATTATATAAAACACCCACACATCCTAGATTTGTCCACCAAAACTCCTTGGTGACTACAAGTGGAGTGGTGCACATGTGTTGCCTCATACGTGTCGTCACGGAGGCATTTGAACATAATCTTTGCAAAAGGTAACCCATAGCTAATGATCAAAAAGCTTAATCGATTTAGCAGATTGTCTCTAGAGGGAAATCAAGGGGAGAGGAGCCCTGAGATATTTTAATTAAGAAAGAAGATGTGGGACACTAAATTCAGATCAATCATTGTAATAATCAAAATGATTAATGCCACCCACAAGATTCAAATTCGGATCTGCCAAGAAATGCCACTAGGCTCACGCCACTGGGTTTAAAGCACATCCACGAAGACTGTCTGTAGCTAGTAGACCAAAGCCAGCAAGTTAAAATGAAAAACAAGAGTAATTTAGCAAGCCCGAAAATCAACATGGCACCCCCAGGGTTTGGGTGCGGGTAATGCTTGCCCAAACCCGCACCCGTCCCAATATTTCTCGGTCACCTTTCAGTTCAAATTGCATCAGACAAAGTTCATCGAAACCTATCAACTTAGATCTAGTTTCAATGATATTGATGTGATGGATGCAACAATGAAAAAAAATCATAATTTTGGATGCTGGATTGAAAGATATTTCAGATTGAAATTTGAATATAAAAACATGTATAGAACACCCACACATCCTAGATTTGTCCACCAAAACTCCTTGGTGACGACAAGTGGAGTGATGCACATTGTTGCCTCATATGTGTCATCACGAGAAGCCTTTGAGTCCAATCTTTGCAAAAGGTACCCATAGCTACGATCCATCTCTTTTACGCGTATTACAAAGCTCAAGCAAAAACCTTAACCCATTTGGCAAATTGTCTCTACGGGGAAATCAAGGGGAGAGGAGCCCCGGGGTATTTTAATTAGGGAAAAAGATGTGGGACTCTAAATTTAGATCAATCTTTGATAATCAAAATGATTAATGCCGCCCACAAGATTCA